CTTTAATTAAAAATAATTCCGCACAAACTTATTCAACTTAGTTTTTACTTCATGTCTTCATTTTGCCGGAAATATCTTACTTGTTAGTTATAAAAGGGTGCGGTAGAAAGCTCTTCTGGCATAAACATTAGTCGACACTAACTTAACCTGACAAGAGGCAGATACATAAAAAGAAATATATTATTCTATTTATTATCCTATTGGGAGTTACGATTATTGTCGATTTTGCTATTGCTCAGCTGCAATAATGCTGTGAATTAAAGTAATAAATATTGATATAATATTAAATATTAAATAGCTCCGAGAAATGTATTGTTTATTATAAAGTTTACAACCGCCGTTCTTTTGAACTATCAGCAAGATGATGTATTTAGCAATCTAAATTACTGGTTGAATCATTCCGAATCTTGTATTTCATTTCAGGAAAGATTATAGCTATTTTGGATATTATGGAAATATATTATCGAGTTTAAAAATTAAGAAGTTTAATTTATTCATCATAATTTAATAGAACTAATCAAATTCTATATTTAAGAACACTCGTTTAATAATAAGATTACTATTTTTTCATTGCTATTCATAACGTGAATATTATTTCATATTTCATACTTGTCGGGTGACCAATAAATGCTCGTACAGATCACTTACGTTAGATATAAAAAAATAGCCTATGGATCAAAACTATATTTTTCATCATTTTGCACAGAGAAAATTTTCTGTGTAGACAAGAAAAAAACAATATTTAATGAGATAGAATAAATATGAATGTTTCAAATTCTTTTTGAGTTCGTTTGGTGAAGTATTTAACGTATGATGAACCGATCAGATTCATCACAAAAGTATAAGCTACTTAAAATGTTATCCTCTTCGCTTCATTAAGACTAATGATGTATATATATATATATGACTTTTTATTGCGTAATTTTATTGCAATTCAAAATTATCTAAGCACTTCTCTAACTAATTAACCTGGCACTCATAGAAAATATCACATCGCAAGAGATACTTCAGAATGTTCTTCTATTCTATCTAATATTTATATTCAAAAGTAATCGCTCTACGATTAGATACAAAAACACATATTTGTCACATTTATTTTCCTCCGTATATAGAAAGCGACACGACAACAGCGCGTCTCAAGGATTTTCTACAATAATTAATCTTGAGAAAAAGAAGCGGATAAATATGTCGCTATTAAAACTACTAAACAAATAGATGAGACATTGAAAAATGATAAAAACTACGAGGCACACAGAAAAAAAGAAACAAACAATCACTATATAGCTTTTATGTACTTAATCGAAAGAGGTTTCCAATAGAATATTTAAGCCAAACATCATTTAATGACATTGTAGTTGTGTTATTTCCATTATTAGACTAATGACTTATCCGTATATAAATAGTATCGTTGGCATTCAATTAGATATCGATAAGTTTTTTCTGTCACCAGTTATATAGAAATGTCGAAGAGAATATCCTCAAGTAAGCGTCTTAATAAATGATAATTTAGATAATAACCCAAGTCTATACTTATCATAGATTCGAAAAGAAAATTCTATGAAGATACTTATTCATGCAAACTTTCCAGTAGTCAATCCATAGTACTTTCATCTGTTACTCAAGAGTAAAAAAAATTTCAATTGACTGAGTTTAACCATTACTAAATGATGCATATGAATAGAAAATATCTGTAATGATTCTCAACAGTTGGAAATTTATTTTCAAACTCCTGTTATTCTGTTTTTGTCTATATAAGATTAGTGCAGCAGACCATTTTTCTCATTAGAGATTTCAAGGCCCAAAAGATTTTTTTTTCTGTATTTGTTGCACGATTTATTTGAACTGCCTAAAGTAAAAACTTAAACGTCACGTACACACATACTAGTCTAAAGAAATTCTGATCTTCTGATGAATAAGAAGAAATGCAAGATTCTAAAGCATAAGGATTCTCTGGATTTTGGTACTGTAACAAACTAGTTTCTTTCTTTTGAATTTCCAGGCACCCATGGTTTTTCGTTCTGCTTATAGAAACAATTTGTTTCGGTTGTTCAATCACATTCAAAGAAACTCATGAAATAAGTCATTTGTTCTCAAAGGGACTGTTGACAGTAGATCAGTTCTCATAAACAAAGGAACTCTTCTGAAATGAACCGATCTATTTCAATAATTCTGATACGCTATCCGTCGAAATCTATCATCTTGAAGGATCATCCAATCTACTAGTTGCATGTGTTCTTCGATAGAAATAAAACTATTCTTCACAATCACCAACATTTTTTGCATAAATTATTTGCGTAGAAGAATATATGATTATATTGAAAAAATATTTATGCGCATTTATAATTTGTTGTTGTCGGCAAACAGCTCATGAATAATGGACCTACTTCAAAAGCAAGCATTTGATCAGTCGTTTTTTAATTACTTTTGGAACACAAAAAAAGAGATTTAATAAACTGTTTTCTTTGTTGCTATTCAGATTGTTAACAATTCGTTATAATAAACGTTACGTTAATCGACGATAATAATATTTATTGCCCAAAAAGATTCATTGAATAATACCTAGCATATGCTTTGATTTACCGATGATCTGTAAATTATCTGATGAAAATTATTTTTTATTTATTTTCGAGAGGTCTCTCTGTATGGTGAATATTGAGATTTCTAAGAATTTTACTTTTTGTTGTTCAACGTGAAAGAAGAGCACTTTTATCAAAATAAAACCAATAGATTTTTATAGAATGAATAATGCACAATTTGATGATCATTAATGGTCTTGATATTTTTGTCCTCATTTTCATACACCCGCCAACATATTAAAAAAACAATAGCCACTTTAATAAGTGCATAACTAGTGGCGTAACCACGAGTTTTTAGTATCCTAAATCTCTGCTAGAGAGCATGGGTCCCAAATGAAAACTTATATACATTCATATTGGATTCAAATGATGAGTTCATAGCGAAAAAATTTCGAATCAGAATTTGCAAAAAACAAAATTAGCATTTTCCTGAGCCCCACCAGAAAATGTTTCACGACTTTATTGATATCTCGTTTTCAGGAATGCCATCGAAAGCTACATCAAATTTCATCGACAGATTTCAAATTTCATTTTAAAAAAATCACCCCTTCAGAGGTTACGACGTTTTTAAGATTCGACGCGTTTCGAAAAAATTTCACGAAGGATTTCAAATCTCACAACGTGTGAAGGGATGAATGTTTTTAAATGAAATTTGAAATCTGTAGATGAAATTTGATGTAGCTTTCGATGGCATTTCTGAAAACGAGATATCAATAAAGTCGTGAAACATTTTCTGGTGGGGCTCAGGAAAATGCTAATTTTTTTTTGCAAATTCTGATTCAAAATTTTTTTCGCTATAAACTCATCATTTGAGTCCAATATGAATGTATGTAAGTTTTCATTTGGGACCCATGCTCTCTAGCAGAGATTCAGGATACTAAAAAAATCCTGGTTACGCCACTATGCATAACTTGGATACTTTTTGATTGATTATATAAATCAAAATTCGGGTTACTCTCGGCTCGTTCCCTCCTCATTAATTGACTCTCAATTCGTTTCCCAATTCAATGGCTACGAATTGGTGACTAATTTGATAAACAGATGATTTTCAACAATCAGCTGTTTTATTAAAGAGTAATATAAGGAACAATAAGAAAACAAAAGAAACAAAAACCATTTAGCAGATTTTGTCTTCAAAGTGCGTCCGCATTTAAGCACGAGTTGCCGATCAGTCGTCAATCTACCCTTGTGGTCATTAAGAAGGACCTCAAGATTCTCGTCAATAGCATCGTTTACCTTCTTTCGTTACGCACTTGACCTCGCGACTCTGCAGACTTGTGACGCTGTTATTCGTGTTAAGCACATCGTTTATATATATATATATATGCAGAGTGCTCTACGTAGCAATCAATTTTCTTATTGATGACTATTATTATTTTTATATTTGTTTTTAATTGTTTCTGAACAGGGACGGGCTAATTGGGGGATGAGTTGAGAGTCAATTAAGGGGGACCAATCCAGAGGATCCCTCAAAATTTACATAATATACTGATAATTAATTCTGTTTTTGACTCTGTCTGAATGATTTATATCATTGATTGGTTTACGTAAAATAGTATATGATTATGATCATGCAAATGAATAATCAATTGAAAAAAGATTCATTAGACATTTTAGAAATAAAAAGTGAATTAATGCAAGTTCGCCATGAAAAAAATCGAGATAATTGATTTTTCCTTTTTTTAGCTATTGATAAAAGATATTCTAATGCACTTATTTGACTACTGCCAGATGTTCGACTCCGATCGAAATTATATTTAATATATAAGTATAATTACATAAAATAAGATGCAGTCTAAATAAGTTATTGCGGTTCTCCGGAGTTCCTCGATTCGTAAATCTAATGTTCATGTGCAACTGATTTAAGAACTTTCCACTGACATTTTATACTTACAATGTTATTAAAGTATTCGAAATTTGAGAGACTAAATGAATGTATTTTACATGAGATATTAAAGCAAACCAAAATAAATGCGTGCCTATGAATACGATGAAACTCAAAACAAACAAAATGAGTAATTACGGAAACTTCAGAATATCTTTGTAATGATATGAGCTCTGTGTGTAGATAAAATATAAAGCGAAGCTTGATATAACAATCCGATGCCAACATTTAAACTCTAAATAAATGGTGATAATTGTAACTGTACACAAAAGCCCATTATTTGCATGAAGACTTTAAATACTTTTATTGTATTCTACTAATAGGTGCTCATTCAGTGTATGTTCCTGAATGAATATCTATAGTTTTCCGTAATTCATCGACTCTGTGTATGCACTCTACGGACATCTATGACAATTCCATTTGATGCAAAGGTTTGACTAATCAAATTAGACTATTATTTTCTGATGATTTGTCTGACATTTTATATTTTATTTTTTTGTGTTTATTAATTCAAAAGCCTAATTAAAAAAGCTCTGGTGATGTCTTCATCGTCTATATTTCTACATGATTTTCTTGTTCCTAATGATGGTTCGCAAGGAGCGTTCGATGTAAATATATTTGATACCATTTTTATTTTTTATTATTGTTTCCCATTTTTAGCAATTAGGAAATATTGCTCCTGAACGAATTAACTATCGACGTGAGCGAAGTCCTTCTCTTGTAAGAAATATTTGTAATGATTTTCAATTTAATAATATTTTCTCACGTGCTTTTTTTAGGAAGATAATGAATCAATATTCAAATCAGTGCGTACAGATTATCGACCAGTAGGATTATATTTAAGAGACAAAAAAAAATTTATATTCTTTTTTTTATTTAGGATTCAATATCCGATCCTCCTCTTGCTCGTCGACGTGTTGCTAAAAAGAGTACAATTACTAAATCTATACCATCCAGCAATAAAAACCCAATAATGCATCAAAATACCCGACAAACAATAAATGATGACAATTACGACGAAATGACTGAATACAATTCACCAACACGACAATCAACAACATCCATTAATAACAATGAAGTAACGAACTTGTTCTATCGAATTTTCCATTTCTTTTATTTTTGTCAATAATAGGAAATCGGTCTTAGTCGAATACCTGATCAACCCTTATTACCAACATTTAGTGATAAAATTCAACATGAACTTCTGATGGGTAAACTAAAAAGAAAAACATCTATGTATATTAGATCGTATGATTTAATTCTAATAGGAAATCCCGAACCAGTTATGAATGAATTAATACGAGAAGCGGCTGATTTCTATATGAATGTTTATCCACAATTGACACACGGTGTTGAATATAAAAAAATTGGTATCGCACTTATCAATGAATATCCTTGTTTAGCATGTGAAGATACAATTAATCCTCATGTAAGTTTCCATAGAAAATCCATAATTAGCTGAATGTATTTTGATTAGGGTTTAATTACATCTCGATTATCTGCTCGCATACGTAATGTACGCCGAAAAATGCGTACACGAGAACAAAAATGTCAAATGCGTGGAACGATTTATTAGATATCTTCAATTAACACATGTACAGAACATATCTTATTATTTTGTTTATAGTAATAAACAGGAAATAAATCGTATTATAAATTGATCTATTATTACATTCGGTATTATTTCAATGGAATAAAATATTGTCTTCACTCTTTTTTTTTTGTTTTCTATTGAAATTTCATTAACTAATCAACATGAATTAGACGACACATGCGAGATAATTCATGTAATAATGGCTGATTTAAGATTACTAAATACTTTAGCACATTCAGTTTAACTAAATTTAGAACGTTACTAATTCATGACAATCTTCGAAGTAGAATAAAGTTAAATTTTTGCCTATTGACATGTAAAAAAAAAGAATATTTTCAGTTAATTGTTTTTTCTATAACCTTCTCATGAGTTATTTTGACTTTAGGTAAACAGTTACATATCATATTCCAAATATCTACTTTAACCTTTTTATTGTGATAAAACAACTATTGCTTATTTATTATTCTATTCAACATTGAGTACGTTTCCATATATCATAGATAAGACATACTTGGTAAATTTTTACAATCTATTTCATAATTCTAAAAAACAGATCGTTTTCAGCTTATCGTTATTGTACCTCCCAAGACGCATAGAAAAACGTCAATACTAATCATAGTGCCGAAGCTTGAGAAGTGGTCCGATTCTCTTTGGAGACCTCGGAAAATGAGACGATCGTATATATGTCACGCGAAGAAAACATTTGTTTTTCTACGTAATAACCACACTGTTTAATTTTTTCGTGAAATATAATATTTATTCCAAGAGATATTCGAAATCAATGATGAGTATTTGTGTACAATAACAACAACAACAACAACACGAGTAAAAATTGGCAAGAAAAAATATGTGTAAGCAATCGACAGAATGAAGAAGTGTGTTGTAGAAAAAAAAAGGAATTACATAAACACTGGGATTAGTATACATCCATTCCATTAAAGAAAACTAAAACCCTATGATTAAAAGTCACAAGCAAGCTCCCATTTATTGCCAACGAATATCTGATGATGCAGGCATGTATTCTGTAACAGGACGGGTTGGCATACCAGATACCAATGTTGATACGGACGTATTGGTCAAAGAGTTAGCAAATGGAACAAACTGAGAAAATTGAGTGTTGAGCTAAAGAAAAATGCAATCCGAAAGATTAACTTTTCAGGTAAATTTATATAATTACTTGTTCATGCGTGAATGTTGATGGTGGCGTTTGAAGAGCAGGTGTACTCATGTTATTAGGATTATTATGATTCATTGTGTTCATTCCTGGTCGTAGTAAAAATGCTTGATTTTGCTAGAAAGAAAATGAATTTATAAAAGAAAATGAAATATTTTTGTACAACGTACTGGCGATTGAAATCCAGGATGAGCACCGAAATTACTTGATTGTTGATAAAGATTGCTTCCAAACGATGCTGATTTATGATGACCCACAAGATGTTGTTGGCGAATTTGCGGATGAGGAAAACGAGATGGATTAGCTAAATAAACGGGAAAACCTATCGAGATATTCATTTCTTGAGACTCAACAGTTATGTTTTCAGTATTGAGTTAAGCTTCTAGTTCCATGATTTGTTTTTTTTGCCATAGTTTAGAGGAAAAAATACGGGAATTCTTGAGTATATTTACCGATATCTATTCCTTGGTTAATACTATTTTGATGTCATCTCTATTTGAATTCTCATAAGATAATCTATTTTTATTCGTATAATACTTTCTATATGATTAGGGCAATTGTTTTCTTTGTCACAATCTCATACATTGCTTTGACTGATCCTCCTACAATGAGATTATTAATCAATAGTTCGTATTAAAGTTTTCTGAGAAACTTAACCGTAGAAATAAAATGTTATTTTCAAAAGTTACAAAAAATTTGGATCTTTTATCTAGGAAGAATTCGGATACATACCGTTAGGCCCCTGCATTGTTGATGAAAGCATATTCATTCCTGAGACAGTTGATGTTTGAGGTGTATTGAATAATGCCAAAATTTTATCTTTAGTCATAACATTACTTGTATTGGTTGCGTTCGGATTTTCGTTCGAAGTTGCAAAAATATTGTGTAAGTCATTACTGGCACTTTGACTGGTGGTTGGATTGGTTCCATTTGTGTTCGTCGACGCTGTTGCAAAAATTTCATGTAGCGGATCAATTACATTACTAGAAGAATTTTTCGTGGAATCGTTTGTAGTCGTCGTCGAAGCAGAGGACACTGGTTCATCTAATAATTTCCATCAATAGAAGCATACATTTAATTATATAGAAACTTAATGCTATACATAAGCCTAATAAATCCGGAGGATTTTCTACCACAGCAGCTGGCTGTATAGGAGGTGTCGAAGAAGCAGAATTTGTTATTGTCGGTAGCTGTATGGTTGGTATTGAACGATCAATACCTGTTTGCCGAACAGGATTCGTAGATGTTACTGGTGCTGTGATTGGTTTCAACTTTGGAATTGTACTGCTGACATTTTTCTCAACCTAAAATAATATTTGAAAACATTCAATATCGAAAAAACAAAGCACTTTTACGTGTTCCACATTAGGTTTTGTTTCTGTTTGTCGTTGATTTGATTCTGATTCTATAAGCTAAAACATTTAAAATATTTCTTATTATAATTTTGTCTCTTTTCTTTTTCTCTTTATGCATGATTAAATAAAACATTGAAAACGAGACAACACTAACATTACTAGGCACCGTTATCTCTGGTGGAATCCATTCTTTCGCAAGCCATCGACGTTGTTCATATTTAGCACGAATAAATGTTTCTACAGCACTATTCAAGGAGTTCAAATAAATAAATAAATAAATAATCATGAAAATAATTTCTAAACATACGAATCGACTTGAGGTCGTCGAAATTCACCAGGTAAATTTGCTTCATATACAGCACGCCCACGATTATTACCCATTACTTGCATGGACTAATCCATCAACAACAAAAATAAAATACAACAATAGAAATAGATTTTAAAAGTGCATACAGCTATTTGTTCAGCTGTCCATGAGTCCAGATTAACTGATTTCACTTTTGATATGTGTACGCCTAAATTTCGATGAAAACCAGCACAACGAATACAAATAAAAACGCCAAGATTCCAACTCGCCCATCGGGGACCTTGAAATAATATTTAATCGATATATGTAGTGAATAGATTTTTTAAACTTTACTTTTAGCATCACAATCCACGCAAAATCGATTATCGTCCTCTTTAAGCATTTGTGAAAGTATCATTTGATATTTTTCTTGCATTTTAGATTTTTCACGTTCTGATCGCACCGACATGATTGTTAAACTCGCAAGGTAAACTACTATCAAAAATACTATGGAAAAAGAATTGTGAACGAAAAGGTTCAACAAATTTGTGCCTGAAAAATTTTTTAGCTTACCTCACAAGATCAAAATCATGAATTTGAGTGACTAAACATGTGTTTCACTCATTCATTCGTTTATGATCGACATCAAAATATTATTCTATTGGACCGATAAAATTCACCAATGAGAAAAATCAGATAAAGAGTGCCATGCCAGTCGATACATTTGGCTTTCTTGGAAACGTGTAACGTACATGTCTCTCTCCTAGAAACGACATTTGCATGACGTTGATCTTGTCAAACAGACAAAATACAAATGTTTTTATTTGATCACGAAAAACTTGAACAAAACATTTCCAAGATAATTACAGCAAACGTATTTGATACTATGCAGATTAAAAATATTCAAATAGAAAAAAAAGAGATAATAATCAGAAACATCATTGTGACTGATACTAATGTTGCTTGTTAAATATTGAAAATGATATTGTTCTGTATGTTATTTGATATGGATCTTCGAATTGATGCAAACATAGTAGTATTTCAAGAGCGATAAGATTGAGCAGAAGTATCATTTTCATCTATATCATTCATATTTATTTTCTTTGATCCATTGTATATGAATAAAGGATAAAATTATTCATTGTAATAACTAAGTATTGCTTGTGATGCGATAGAGAAATACAAATTGAGTCATATCAAATTGAGAACATAAACAGAGATAAACGATTGACATTATAGTTGTGAAATCAGATCATTCACTAGCAATCATTTACTTGTCTGTTGACACCATCGAACAATGATATTTGTTGTGGAATTTGAGAGAATTTCTAGAAGCGATCTGGCTTCTGCTGTTGTTTATAGCACGGAGAGACAGCCTCTGGTAACATAACTCTAAACAGGGCTGAATCTTTGTTATGATAGACTGATCGTTATATTTGATTATACCATGAAACAAGTTACCAGAAAAGAATTATTTTTGTTTTTTTCTCTAACTACGAATAAATATTACTCTGTTTTTTGGCATTATTCGCATATATTTATCATGTGCAGGATTGCTACTTGGTTATGTCTTATATAGAGAGCTAAAATAATTTTTTTTATCTTGGCTAAGATTAGTTGCAGTTGACTAGTCCAAAGAGAGAGAAAATCGAAAATTGAGAATATTTCTCGAGGGCTTTAGCTTTCTTAATAAAGATCAAAACAGGTGTCTATTGTTTGAAGATCATTTCTCACTAGGAGGCTGACATTCTCATTTGTCACTGGTTTATATTCATGTGCTTTCTTATTGTATCTTTCATTCGTCGTTGTATTGATTGACTCGCATGATTAAAATTTCTAGGAAAGTTCAAGTATTCTATTAAGATATTTTTTTCTCTTTTAACAAATAACCAAATACTATTGATCGTTCATAAGGACGTGCTTTTTCTTTCTATTTTTTTGCTTCCGACCAATAATTGAGCAGTTGTTTGAGAAAAAGAAATACGGTCATTCTTCTATTATTATTATTATTATTATTTTTTTTTTTGATGACTTATTTTAGATCTATTTCCGTTTATTTTTCCATTTAGACTTTCGACGAAAATTTGATTCCATGTATTACTTTACAAGACCGAGTAGGTAAGAAACAGAAATTATCAATAAAATATATATGTATCTGTGTGCTGTTCCTTATCGAACAAGAGATGGATTAACAATTTGATTATTCTTTTATATAGATGAACAGTTGTCGGATCACTTTCCCCCAATGTATTATTATGATAACTTTCTTTTTTCTTCCGATCGTAATTGATAAATTAGAAAATGATCTCATATAAATATCTCGACAAAATTCCATATTTGTCAGAAAATAGTTATGGCTTTAATCTTTTACCATCTTGTTGATTCTCTCTCCTCGATTCTACGTCGAACTCTGAGGTAAAATATTTGAGACTGTTGTTTGCCTAGAGAATTCTACCGTACAACTATGCGAATTCTCATGCGTATTTTGTTTTTGGTCAAGACATAAATCACCGTTTGGATATCAATAAGACTAATTGATAACTGTCTGTTCGCAGCAGCGCAAACTCGTCACCAGTACTATCAATACTGGCACCACTACTAGAATAGAATATGTGTATATATCTAGAGAACAGTTGCACGAATGCCCATCTTCAAACCTTTTTTTCTCTTCAGGCATCTGTTACTCCTGTCTGCTTTCTTATTATAGTCAACTATCATATACAAATATAAATAGTCGAATATATTGACATATCTATTGTACGAATAGGGTTTTTAGCTTCCATTTTATTAAGAAGTCAATCGAACACAATATTTTTCACTGAAAATAATCATAGGTCTGGTTTATTTTGTTAGAGAACAGATTCTATTTTTGTTTTTCCTCACGTTTTTCTTAATACAAACACTATTTGTGACATACATTTGATTATTATTCTAATCAAAATATTCTCATATCATGTCTCTACTTTACTATCGGGTTTTCAACGATGTATTCGATGTATTTCGTCGACGTAGAACAGTGAGGTAAGAAATATTTTAACTAGACAAAAACTTACACAAACGAAATGAGACGTCTAGTTAATATAATTTATTAATGTTCATTTGGATAGTACTCGTACCCAAAGAGTTCCGACTGTAAACATAGAAAACTTAATTTACCCATGTCACTTTCTGTAATCAGATATTCTAGAATAGCTATATTTATCTCGCATGTTCTTTTTCTATTATCTTATAGTTTGAATATTAATTTTCTCTATGTTTACTTTTATGATTAGGAAAGAATTCGATGAGCTGTAGTAGTTACTTGTTTTGCACTAGAAAGTCATAGAAGATGATATAGATAGAATAGAAATTTTCTACAGAAATAATTCTAAACGCGAGTTGTTTTCTCGCCTATGTTGTAGGGTTTGATTTAATTTTCGAGAAACGTCAATCCATCGCATCTCAGTTGAATCTCCTAATTGTAGCAAAATTTTCTACCAATGAGTCCTATGTGCTATCGACGCATCCCTGAATTGGCACATATTTCACATATAAATATGACAGTAATCTAAAAAATGATTGATATAGATTATTCGATTGATAATATTGTATTTTTAATGATTCTGTAATAGTATCATGTATGTATAGATTTTAGAATATATTCCATCATCGCTAATATTTTATATTCAAAAGAAAAAAAAATCATCAATTTAGTCGTTGACGAAAAATTTCTTTCGAATAAGATCGATATCCAATTAACTTATATTAATTTATTCCCTGAATACATAACTATATCTATACGTTCTCTATAGCCAATCATTGCGCCAGATCTGGCGAAAAGTATAGTATGGGTATTTTCTTTCTCAACTTACAAGTGTAGCTTGGGAAAATTTTGGATCATATTAATCGATCCATATCCATAAGTGTATACAAATTAGTATGCTAATGATTTTTCTCTATATGTCATTCGATCAAGAGTAATGACATCCCACAGAAACTGCTCATCAAACGTAAGAGAAATACATTTAAAAAAGAAAGGCTCAGGGAAGCACATCGAGATAAAGATGGAGACATGTCTATTTCTATGACTTTGAAAAAGACACAAGTAGACGTTAATTATTGGATATAATCATATTCAACAGACAATTTCCCGATAACGATTGTTGTACTGACATAACAACAAGTAGAAGTTTGTGTCTATAAGATAAGTTGTACACATTAATCTACTTGGTTCTTATTTAGTGAAATAGACACGAAGAATAAACAATAATTATCATGTACTTATTTAGTTAGACATAGATAGATCGATACTAAATGTTTGGATAGTTACATCTGGTTTTTGTCATTGTTCTTCTTTAATATCGATATATTCTCCAAGCGCAGGTGATCTTACTAAATATTGCATATTATCTTATAGTAACTAATGAATATTCATTTAGTCAGAATATCTAAATTAAAAATACGTGTATACCAATCAGGGACGGCGCGAAGCAACAAAAGTATAGGGGAGGTTACTTGAAAACGGGAGGTTTTTTTTCAAAAATCTGAGTAAATCAATAAGAATCTCTTCTATTTTCTTCAAAAATCGGAGTAAATTAATAAAAATCTCTTCTATTTTCTTCAAATCGGAGTAAAATTGAAACAAAAATTTCCAAAGGTAGGGGGACCCCCCCCCCTTCGCGCCATCCCTGATATCAATTTACCTGTTACTTAATAAATAAACTTTAAAAACATAGAACGACTTGACGCATTGTGTTTCCAACGAGAAGTAATGCAGATACAGTTATATCTTGGTATAGGACAAGTGTTTCATAAATAATAACCTGTCGATTATAGAAAGATATCAGAAAATATAACATCCGAATACGAAGACTCAACGATTGTGAGTTCTAATAAACTGTTGATACATCCAGGGTTAAAATTCTTTTGGTATTTCATATATCATAGGCCTTCTTTTTCTTCTTTTTTTCTTCGACCTCATTCCTCTATATATCCAATCTTGCATATAACTCTATATAGTATCATATTTTCTGCTCGATTACTTGTAATAAATGTCCGGAAGAAAAAGAAATCCTCTATATTTATTCGTATCTATGTGTGCGTTAAATAATCAAACAAATAGGACTTCCCTTGTAATTAGACAATCTGTATAAAGAACACAGAGCTAAGAAAACAAAAGAGACAGATTTTTTTGCTAACGTTACTTAAGCGTGTTGATGCTTTTTTTGTATATAACATTGCCTTCGACAAGACGACGACAGACAGCTAAAGTAGTATTAGTAGTAGATTTAGTCACTGACCGAGTAGCAAATATAGACATAATAATATGGATAGTAAGCAAGAATAAAAACTATTGTGAACGAAAAAACAGCTGAATAAAAAAAGAAAAGTAAGCATGTTGTTTGATGCGAATAACAGACGCCATTGTGGACCATCGTTGGCAACTTATGACAGAAATCAGGCGTCGAGTACTACTAGTATTTATGATAATATCATTATAAGAACAACAGCAGAAAATGGAGATATATCGTGAGTATTTCATTAGATACAATCAATCTGGAATCACATCATTTTCCCTTCATCATCATCATCATCATCTTTTTCTTCTAAGTCATCGGTTAAATCAGACGAAACATTATTTATTTAATCGAAACTAAATAGGCATTAATAACATACTAAAAGCAAGAAAGAAAATTCCAGACTTGACTGATCTAGAAAAAATTGTCAAGAGGATTAGCACCATTGATGAATGTTACATCACACGTACACCGATCATAACTTTTTATGTATAGCAAAGAAGAGAGAAAAAAACCATGATTATATATAGATAGATATAGATATCTTTCTATCGGAATTCGATCCGTGCAAATAAAAATACAATAAATTATTCTTCGCTTGTCTTTTTTTTTGTTTTTCTTTCTATGTACAGTCTCAGTCAGTTAGTCACTCTCATTCGCTCTTGTTTTCTTGTTTTGATATTGTTTAGTTACTGATTTCTAGGACATATTTATTTTCTTTTTTGTTTGTCCTTTGGTCGCCTAGTGGTAACAAAAATACATGCTGAAGCATATTATAGAATATGCTTGTTCCAATTTTCTTGTCTATTTTTGCTGACAATAGACGGTATAGATACAATTTCGGTGTACTAGGGAGAGATCAAGTATTGTCGCTGCTTTTCTTCTGTCGTTTTGTCTATTCTTTGCCATTAGTATAGTCGATCAGAGATAGCAAGTAAATGGGCTCTCTCTTGTTCTTGTAATATTGCCGATAGGAAGGAATCAATCACTCTCTTCCTCGTCGCCATCGTCTTCTTCTACTTCTCATTTTCGGTTCCGAGCCGATCGCTATTGTTAATGTTGGAGTATCTTCATTATTATTATTATTATTATTATTATTATTATTCCTTTGATCGTATTCATCGACGAAATTATTATTAACAGTTTTTCTTTGTTGTTGTTACATTGTCGTCTTACAATAAATCGTATCTCAATTATAACTTGATTTTGGCTTAGACAAAACAAAATTTGATATTATAATAAAATGTTCTTTTTTCGTTTTGGTAGAAAACAACGAAGAGATGAGCTACTCCAAGCGCAACAAAAACGTGCTTCTGCACGTTTTTCAACACCGGATAATATACAGATGGAACGTTTGGAACGATGTAAAAATTGTTGTAAATCATTTACAACATTTATATTTTCACGTGTTGGCCTGTGTTTACTTGTCGTGGCTTATGCATTTGGTGGCGGTGTGATATTTCAATTTCTTGAAGCAACAGAAGAAGATAATGTTAATAAAGTTCAACAACATTTAAATGCAACAGTTGAAAAATTATTTGAACATAGTATGAATTTAACCGTTTATCATCAACCGAATTGGACGGCAGTAGCTCGAGAAATACTCGAAGAATATCAAAAAGATATTGTTCGTCAAACAAAACGTGGTTATCAAGGTGAACGTCTTTCCGACGATGCTAAACAATGGAATTTTCCAGAAGCAATTCTTTATGCGATAACAGTGATTACAACAATTGGTAAGGGATTCCTGTTATCACATTGATTGAGAATGATCATTTATACGGATATTATTTTATTTTATTTCAGGCTATGGACATATTACTTGGTATGTATTTACTAAAAACTAGAATAGGATAATCAAATTTCAAGGTATAATTGACCTTGGATTGCCTAAACTTCCAGATTCCCTTGATTACTTGATAGAAAACAACAATAACAACTGTCGTCCATCTATTGATAACAAGATTTATGCTTGCAATTGACATTAAGCGAACTTATATAAACATAAAAAAAAGGTTTTTTTTATGCGCAGCTGTTAGAAGTGAACTTATCGAAGTTGGTGTAAAGGCGATAAATACTTATTGTTCGAAGGATTTTCACTTTTTATCATTCGTTGCCTATCAAAATTTTATTTTTCTACCTGTCTAATTACGTGAGACCATTCAAATCTCATTAAGATAATAGACGTTATTTCTTAGTTAATTTTTTTGGATATACGGAGAAAAATGATTTCATTTTCCAAAGTAAACTTTCCAGATTAACGATGACTCAATTAGACAACAGTATACGATCATTATTTAATTACAATTCTATGTAAAGGTCATACAAATGAGAATTCTAGACATCTAGCATCAATCGAAGATGTTTTGTTTTTTCCGTATTTTATATTAATCGCATTGCGCTAAGATTGCTTGTGAAATGTCAACAGGAAAGAAAAGACAAAAAGGAGTTTTCTCAAAGAATTTTTATTAAATATTTCTACTGATGAATATTTTTGCTATGATATTCTTTTAGTAAAACAAATTATGGCAAAATAATGACCATGATCTATGCTATATTTGGTATTCCATTAATGTTGTTGTGTCTAGCAAATATCGGTTCAACAATGGCGGATGCATTTCGTTTTATTTATTGTAATATATGTTGTTCATATTGTCATATGGTAAAAAAACGTCGAAATCTTCGAGCTTTACAATCCGTTGAACGGTCGCATGCGGCATCATCGTCAATTCCACAATCGTCAACGACAACAACATTATGCTCACATAATCCTCAAGCAACTACAAATAGTCTTGAACAACAACAATCAACACCTAATCTTGTGGAATTCGTTGATAATCTTAGTTTTGACTATCGTAAAGTCACCATACCGATTAGTGTCACACTCTCGCTGCTGTCATCCTATTTGATATTGGGCGCTTTACTTTTTAGCGAATGGGAGAAATGGAAATTTTTAGATGGAGCTTATTTTTGTTTCGTCACACTGGCAACCATCGGTTTAGGTAAAGGCAGACCGAAAAATCTATGCATTTAAACAATGAGAGATTTAAAATAATTTTATGTATAGGTGACCTTGTGCCTGGTAAATCTATAGAATCCACACAAGTCGAAGGTAAACTTATAATATGTGCACTTTATGTGCTACTTGGTTTATCATTAATGGCCATGTGTTTTAATTTAATGCAAGAAGAAGTGCGTGCAAAATTTCGACGCTTAGGAAATAAACTCGGTATAATTGATGATCCAAATTATTGGTAGTTATTTATTTTAATTAGATATCTTATATAACAAATAAATTCTTATTTGTTGTTGTGCATTGCTTTATTTGTTGTTATTTTATAGATTGATATTCTTCATTTCATTTTCTTTCTAATTGTTGTTGTTGTTATTGGAATCTCTTTTTTCATCATCATCATCATCATCTTCTTCTTCTTCTTCGTTTGTTATCTCTTTGTCTTTCTTTGATAAATGTCTGAAGAACAAAATGATCAATATCTTATTTATTCGGATGTATTTTCAGCAATACAAGATAAAACAAAATCTGGAGAATTTTTTAAAAATTCTATTCAATTCTTTATAATATCAAATGAGAAACGTGCAGATATTAATCTTGTCGATGATGACGACGGTGATCCAGATTTATGTCGACCAGAACGTATTGATTTGACTTTAGGTATTGCTTTATTTTTTTATCATGAATCACAAATGTTGGCGCCAGTTTTGTGTGGTACCATCAAAACTCGAATAAATCTTTCTTGGCGTAAAATTGAAAACATCAAGTATTGATTAGATTTACTTGATATACTTCTACTGGAAATATAAAACCTAGTCTGTGGAGATATCTGATCTATCGTTCATTTTAAACTCTTCTACGTGGCCTGGGAGCAAATTTCAAAGTTGGGTTTAACAATATGTTTTTGTTTTTCTAATCCATCTTGAATTTCTAACCATATTTAAAAACAAGACTGTCTAATCAACTAATTAATATCAGGAATGTGAGTGCGGATGGAAGTTATTGAAAAATTCATATTCAAATATTCAAGTGCAAAAATAAATATACGGCTGTACTACTCGTGCCTGTGGTACAGTACCGTAGAGCTTAAATGATAACACAGCTGTTGTGTTTTGTTATCTTAGATATTCTTGGCGAGCATCATTTGAAAGAGAGAAACCTCGTAGTAATAATATTAGGTGTGTCTATTCTTTCAAATTCGTTTATCTTCTGTCAACATCACATAAGAATATATATGAAGAGAATTAAGTCATAGACACAAAAAGATATTTATTTGACTTCTATACATTTTCTTCTCAATTTATTTAGATCGAAATCTATGTTTCGTTCTTGAGTTATCTTTTCTATTGAAAAAAGAAGCCGAGTTGATCGATGTAAACGAGCAAATTTATGAGATATTTTCTTTTTTTGTACAGTTCATCGCAATGAAACTAACGTATCTGAATGTGGATATCAATTATGGAATGGCGCTTTACTACTGTGTGATTATATTTTAACAAATTCATGTCGATTTTCAAATAAAACAATATTTGAATTAGGTGCTGGTATTGGTCTTTGTAGTCTTATTGCAAGTCGATTGGCTTCTAAAGTGATTTGTACAGGTAAATTAAATCTTCGTTTTTTTTTTATAAATTAATTTTTTCTTTGTCGCAGATCACGATAATGACCTGTTAGATGTAGTCAGACAAAATATTGAATTAAATGATGCTGTTTGTAGAAAAGAATGTATTGAAATACAAGAATTTGATTGGAAACAATTTAATTTAAATGAAATCGATGATCGTATCGAAATTGTTTTTGCAGCTGACGGTAGAGAAAATGAAATTGCTTCTCGTATATTATTGTTTTATTTTACACACTTTAGTTATTTATGACGATGATATAACGGATGCATTGTTTAATGTTTTAAGAAAATGTTTTCAAGAAAAATTCAAACTTCATTCAATTTATATTACTGTTGAAAAGCGAATTAATTTCTATCTCGATACACTGTCTGTTCGATGTCCAGCCTATGAATATTTTCTTGAAAAATTGCATGATTTTCAACAAGACTTTCCAGTTCTGACATTCGAAAAAATGAATACAGATTTTAATTCTATAAAGCAATGCACGAAAATTTACGAACGAACAAATGAATTGGTACAAAAAAGAAGATTCTGCTATTTTATTTAAGTTTTATTTTTATTTTAGATTCTCTGGCATATTTATCATTCGGAAAGATATTCATCATAGATTGTATGTATTCTTTTATTTAAAATGTTTCGAGTTGAAGTTTTCAATCGACTTGGTTTCGTCAATTTAAGACGTCGTAATAAAGGATCGTCGTCATCATCGGATTCTTTATCTTCATTTGTGGGAAGTCTTTCCAGTGGAACACGAATCGGCAAATGATCACCATGATCATGTGACGAGAAATACGGCCCTATTTGTAATTGTGTATTTGGCTGAATAGAAATATTTGTTTGATCTTCTAATAACAATAATTCATTGATATGAATCATGAGATTTTCAAGTTCATCACGTTTTTGTATTGTAATTGAATGTAACATTTTATGACGACGTTCATGATGATCATATTCATTTCGAAGACGATGATATCGCTGTAAAGTTTTCATTAGAAACGCAAGGCTAGTTGAAAATGAGAACAGGAAATATTTATATTCATGGAGATATTGATTGATCATAGGAAATAAATAGGATAACATCCATTTGCATTCCGAGACAGAATCGCGCCTTTTTTTTTATTGTTTATTATTGTAATTCTTAGCGCATTTTCAGATGAAGCTTTTCACATGTTGTATTTTCTTATTGGTAAATATTATTTCGGCGAGAGATTGGCTTGTTGACAAAATAACCGATCAGACAACAATAGGAAAGACTTCATTAGGCACATTATTACTTTCGAATACTTTGATTAGTCGAGAATTTTTACTGGATCCAGATTTTGCTACAATTGATTTTCGGGATTTACACGAGACAAATTCAAGTATATTAAGATGTGTAAAACCTGAAGCTGCTATTACACTTGATGGTATCGAATATAATATCGGTGGAGTTTTACCGAATACGCAATGTGCTTATTTTAATCGTACGGATTTTTGGAAAACAAAATCTTTAGATACAAAAGCTTTTCATTTTTCAACATATGAAGTTGGAGTACCTAAAGCTCCATTTGCATATACACCGAAACGATTTGCTCCAGCTGATATAGAATGGCCACCCAAAGGTATTCATTTAAGTGTTTACTTCAAAGCACCCTACTTTGCTCCACTATCACATAAATATGTCACTGTTGTTGTTAACTATGAAATGTATGATGGTATACCGTTGCTTGTAAAATGGCTTGATGTTATCGATACGAGTGGTCGAGGTGATATCGATCTGTCGTTTGATTCAATTGAAATTCTTGCTGTTAATCAACCATGGTATAATAATAAAAAACACATTTTTTAAACAAAGAAAATAAGTATTCGTCGGTTTGTTTACTTTTTTTTCCATAGGTCACCATTTGGTCATTCATGGTTATATGTTGAAACTAATCAACCTCCTGGTCACGGTACTAATGTCATATGGGCATATGATGCTGAAGTCAATACAATTCCAGGCTCATTTCCACCATCAGTTAATTGTACATATCAAACTGATCATCGCATCATTGTTCCGCTTGTCACAGAACTATCGTCATTTCATGTCCATGAACTTGTTATTGGTTCATCCGATGAAGAACGTAGTGCGTTAGCGAAACATCGCCTGATGCGTTTATTAGCACCGCATACACAAGAAAACCCAATATTCTTTCATATGATCAATGGAAGTTCGCCAGCCTTTCGTTCAGCGATTGATCAAATGGCTGAAGTTGGTTTCGAAATGCTTATTTATTCGTTTGGCTCTGGTTTCAACATGGAATCTAATGATGAAAAATATATTGAACAAATATCTAGTGACATAGCTTATGCAAAAAGTAAAGGTATCGAAGTTGGCGGCTATGATTTAATTGCACTAACACGTCAAGTGCAAGTAGATTGGATGGCAATCGATCCAACTACTGGTAAACCACGTGATAGTGCATGTTTTGCATCCGGTTGGTATGATTATTTATTAAATCGTACATTAGCATTTATGGATCGTACGGGTTTAATTATGGTTGAAACTGATGGTCCCTATGGTGGCTATTCATGTGCATCAACTGATCATGTTCATCATCGTAATAATGACGATAGCATATATCAACAAAATATTCTTCAAGGAAAATATTATCAAATACTTCGTGAACGTTCTGTTTATATAAATCAACCAGATTATTATTTTTATCAAGGTGGCTCAAAAACAGGTATGGGCTATAATGAAGAACAATATTCATTACCACGTTGGATGGATATTAGTGTTTCGAGGTGAGCACTTGAATAAGAATCATGAAGAATTTAAAATCAATTTTTTTTACCTTTCACGATAGACAAGGAATGTTTGATGATACATATCAACGAATTCCGACAATGGGCTGGATGTTCGTACCATTAACTGTTTATCATGGTGGTGGTGATGCAGCACAGTTTGAGCCATTGGTTCAACATCAAATTGAATATGAATGGGCTCTAGCTCAATATTTAGGTTTGATAGTTTAAATTTATAAGGAATTTTCGTTCTTCATTGAAAAATAATAAAAATAGGTGCGGGCGTTGCTGCTTGCTATCGAGGCTTTCGTCTCTATGATACCAATGAAACAAAAGCATTAGTTACAAAATGGGTTAATTTTTATAAAAAATATCGTTCGATATTAATTCGTGATATTATTCATGTGAGATATGAAATTTTGTTTCTCTTTACTTTTTAATATAAACAATGAAATAGGTTCGTCGAGCTGATATGCAATCCATTGATAGTTACATGCATATTGATCCATATTCAAATGATATTAAAGGTTAATATATATATATAGTAGTTGCTTTTTATTGTGATTATTAATATTAAGAATATTTTTCATAGGTCTTGCTATGGTATTTAATCCAACGTCAGATCCAGTCGAGACAACGTTACCTGTTCCTCTGTATTATACCGGTTTAACCGATACAGCACAAGTATCCGAACAAGAAAATACCTGGCAAAGTTATACATTAGCTCGAGATTATCATATTGATTTACCTATTAGACTTCCAGCATTAGGAATCACATGGTTTCTTATTAAGTAAATCGAAAGAAAACTTTATTCGTATAAAAATTGTAATTGAATTTATTTAATTCCTATGTAATTATTAATTTCTTTTGTGATATCGACATTATTATTGTAAGCAAAATTTTCATTTTATATAAAACTTTTTTTTTTATAACAGAATAAAGCTCTTAAAGAATAGAATAGATAAAATGTTTTGGCTTTCTTTTTATCATTACAAGTTAAAATACTCACGATTCATTACTTATCATATTACATTATCTTCACGGGCCGAGTGTAGAAATGTATTCAAGCAGCTCTATCAATCAATTGCATTCTAAATAGCTCGTTTCTATCCACTATTTTTAACAGCGGTAGATAGTTCTGTAATAGTGAATGATGTATTATACACTATTATTATCAATCAAATTCTCGTCGAACATTCATTAGTAACAGACGGAAATAAAAGAGCATCACTCAAAATGTAGATCGTCTACTGAACATAAACATTCGATGTTTTATTGGATACTCAATTATCATGATGCAATGCGTAGCCAGGAAGTAGCATCGAAAGAATGGCCACTAATTGAATCACGACAGTCGCAGAGAAAAATAGATGTATTTTTAAAGAAGACTCTTAATAACGAATAAGTGTCTCATGATTTACAGACAATTATGTTGTAGATTTCATTTTTAATTTGATGGCGCATTCTATTGTTGTAAACATTAATAAAAATCAATCATAGTTTCTGACAGTCTTCTTAAAGAAGTCAACCGATTATGAACTCTAAGAGGCTCGACTCAACTATTAGAAAGATACTCCATTCTTAATTTAGATTGGAGAGCGAGTTCGAGTTTATCATTACAAAAGAAATTTTGAAATGTTGGGAATAGGTCTAGTTTATTTACCTTAGATATGCACGTTAATACATAGACATTCATTGATACAAGAGAAAAATTACAAGAAGAAAAATGAAGGATTGGAATCATGTAATGTTGACCATCTTGTCTTGATTTCGACGTCAAAGAAAAATAAATAAATATAAGTAAGTACATGTTTTGGTAATAATTTTTGTCTTGTTCGAAGCAAAAAGATAATGAATAAAATAATGATCGTTCCACTATTCAAATATTAATACAAATGTCAGTTTATTTTATTCATAATTATTATTTTATATATATATATATATATTTCGACAATTTAAGCTAAATAAATTTTATTAATTAGTTGTATTGATGTTCGACATATAGGACCTAAACAAAAGCAATATTTTACAATAAAAATAAAAGCTTGCCCATAGAAATGTACGTACATTGTTTTGATCCATGTTCAACCAATTCTGTAGCACATGTATAACATAAACAAATGTGTCCACATGGAATAAGTACGGTATCTCGTAAATGATCAAAGCATACCGTGCAATCTTGATTTAACTTAGAATCAGATTCGTTGTTACCATTATTATTCGTAATATTATTGTTATTATTATTATTTGCAGCAGTGCATGCATGATTCGTTTGTATTGCGTTATTTATTTGTTGTAACGAACGATATCTGTCAAGATTTTTAATAAAACCCATGGAACGTACAGCTACAATATCACCTTTTAATATAAGAAATGGATAATAAGTGAGAGTTGAATCAACATGAATAAAATCTTTTAATTTAGAATTATTATGGGAATATTCGATGACTCCATCTTGTTTGAATGTAAATAAAAATTCATCTTCACGATCGATTGTTGTTTTAGTACCGAATTTAAAATCTTGTACAATCCAAAATTCAGATCGATTATTTATTTTTTCAATATCAAGTGGCAAATCATTTGAACGTAATAAACTTTGTGTATTACAATTTGTTAAACCGAATTGTATATGTGATGGTAAAAGATTTGAAGATGTTGTAGTCGTTGTTGTTCGTCGCTGTGATTCATTCGATGGTATGATACTTAATATTTGCACTAATAAACCTGAATTAATTACTAATGGTTCAGAGAAAAATACAAGACCATCACAATTAGTTCGATTATCAAATAGAACTATGGATTGATTCGGTAGTGAGTTTGATGAGGATGAAAAAAATGATATTGATGAGCTATGTACAGGTAGAAATGGTAATGGTGTTAGATCATTACAAATATCTTTGAAAATTGGTGATGTAACTATGGGATTTAAATTACGAAGTTGATCATTAACCGATACGGAACGTTTTTGTTGATCCTCGGCAAGTTCAATACTGATACAATTACCATAGATATCTAATAAAGCCCAAAGTGGTTCTTGAACGAATATTCCTATAAAAAAAAATGTTCATAGGTTAGAAAATAAAATTTTCTTTTTTTTCCGAATGTTATAATAAATACGAACCAGTGAGCAATGAAATTTCTCCAGTTGGTGTATTAAGAAATAGTTCGCCATTTTCATCAACATAGAAATAAGTTAATTTGTTTGTTAAATCGAAACAATTTTCTGGTACACATTTAGCCCAATAACCTGAAAAAAAGATAAAATATTTATTTAGCTTTTTTTCTCTGACAATAAAAAGAACAAACCAGGTCGACAAGTCAAATCTGGGCATGCATGACGTGGCAATGAAGTTGATACTCGATGAGTACTGGGATCGGATGTAGTTACGCCAAGACGAAGAAAACCTGTCCACTGTATACTTTTACTAAGAAGGCGAACATAAACTCTTTCACGTATTTGAATCGTTCGATTACTAAAACAGATGCCTTTACAAAAGCTATCAACACGTTTTGCTATTGTATTATTTCGTGATAATTTTATGTGTTCCCCATGAATTGAATGAAATTGTAGAGGTGTATTCATAACTATTGAATTGATAGATCAATTGTCTTATGAAAGTTAATCAAAGAAGAATAAATAATTGAGTAAAATAAATAACAAGAATTTTTCTGCGAATAAAAGAAGATGATCAATGATCATGCTTATATTATTCAACAGAATAGGACAACAATCACCATCGAGTCGATGATTATATGAAAAGATGTCGCATGTTCACATACAATGACTATGAAAGATAAGAAACTATTACATTGAAGTCTATCAGAAAAATCGGTGATATTTTTAAAAATTACATTAAAAAAAGGAGGAAACATCGGATTTGCATCCGATTGTTATGTGTACTTCAAAAAGCAAAAATGTACATCCATTTTTTTCTGTTCCTATTTCGTCGTAAATGTTTTATATCATGCACAGCAAAACTAGAAAGAGGAACGAATACACTATTGAAGATACAACTCATAAAGACTGTTCCGAAGTGACGGGTTCTATTTACTTTGAAAAAATTGGTATTACTCATATGAAAAATAAACAAATATCACACCGGCACATTATCAAGATATATGAGTTTNACTCGGCCATTTCTTCACAGATTGCTTTCATCTTCGAACTCGACTGAGATATTGATGAGATCATTCTGTGTACAAAATTTCAAGACAATTGGATGAGGCTTTCAAGAGTTATCGTGTTAACGGTCGGACACATTGGCTGAATCTAGAGTGTACTCACCTTTTGAGTACACAAAAGAGATCATTCGAAATAAAATTACCTGAATTCAAAATTAGAATATATCAACAGATTATTGTTTGGATTACAGATAGAAAAAAACTATACATATATTTGTTGTGAATATCACTTTGTATGAAGGTTTTCCTATATTCCCTATCGATAAATAACATTTATTTTAGATAATAATGAGAATCACTGGTAGTGCCAAGCCAAAATCAAACAGCTTTTTCAGCTAAAATGTTGGGAAAAGAGTCTTTTTGTCTACTATCATATTTTGAAAACTACGGCATCATGTAAAAAGACGGAAGTAATCGAAATATCATTAAAGGTTAAACTACCGTTTGACATTAGCAGATCTTCCGTTATTGTAATCATAGAGCTAAAAGGTACTGCCTTTAAGTGAATGTCAAACATAACTGATGACTGCAGTGCCAAGCGTTGAGTGAGTTACTTTGATGCTTTTAACGGTGAGTTATTACAGGAAAAAAAACAATCACATCAGTGTAAAGTGTTTTGTTTTAGTCACAAAAAAAAACAATTGGAAATATTTTATTCCAAGTAAGAAATTTTTCGTGAAAAAGAGCTTCTATGAGAGGCACTGATCAAATGGATGCTCGTTACCATTACTTCTATCCTTGTAGATTAGTCTCAGTTTGACTAAATGAAATTAAATTTCCAGTAAAGCTAAAACTTTTATATATCTTACTGCGTTATAAGATAGTGTATATTGTGGCATTCAATTAATCAGTTATGAGAAGTTGAAACTCAAAAAATGAGCGCGTACGCTATCTGTGGACAGGCCGATATCTATCCTTATCATGTGATATTCACACACATCTTGTTTCAACGTTAGCAATTATATGTGTACCATACAATCAGGCCACCCAAGCAGACAAAAACTTTTAGGAAAACACGTTTACACACTCAATCGGGAACCGCGATTGTGAGTCATTAACGCTCAGTAACGGAACGCAAGAAACGCGTTTTTTACGCAGAATTCTCACTTTCAGAGCGTGAAAACTCCAATTCTGAGTGTTTAAACGAATNAATTGGAGTTTTCACGCTCTGAAAGTGAGAATTCTGCGTAAAAAACGCGTTTCTTGCGTTTTGTTACTGAGCGTTAATGACTCATAATCGCGGTTCCCAATTGAGCGTGTAAACACGTTTTCACAAAAGTTTGTCTGCTTGGGCAATAGACTGAAAGGCAATCGTTGGATGGTTTCTATGATTGATGACGTATAATTAATTGAAGGTAGAAGATCTCAATATCTTGCACTTATCAACAACTCGTGTATTTTTGTTTATGGGGATTGACTCTAATTACGGTGACAGAGAATTAATGCAGCTAAAGATTACACTAATCTCAACTCAATGAATGATATTGATGCGAAGCGAAAGAGTAGAATTGAAAAAAATATAACACAAAATCGATTGTAAAATGTCGCACATTTTATTTCAAACCCGATGCACCATGCTGGAAAGCACATTCTAGGTTAATATTTGATTGGAAATGTTTTTTCGGTTACCAAATTGCTGCTCTTGTGTTTGATAGGAAATTGTGATGATCTCAAAAGGCATGAAAATAAAATTTGTGTCTTTCTTTTAAAAAAATCTTTCGTTCTCTAGTGAAATATCAGAAATACAATTTCTTATTCAATCACTCTAATTAGTATTACTCGTTCAAGTTAAATAAAATTCACATTGAAAATACGCCAGAATTAAATTTCTACATTTGCATACAGTATCAATTGCATTTCTAAAGATAAGCCGGTACGATCAAATCTATCATCTATATTAAAATCATGTTTGTGAAACAATATGTATGGATCAATTCAGGACCGATACGCTAACCAATTCTAATTCACTGTAATGAGTCGAGATATGTCTGATTTATGATTTTAACCACAGAACACTCTCGTCTCATATAACAGTGAACCAGCAGGTTTCCATCTCGTCAACCATCGAATTCTCTCTACGAACATCTCAAGCACGACTGTTAGGTACGTACTCGAGAAAGCTTCTTAAACTAATAAGAAGACTGCGTAGCCGCTTTGCCGAGAACCGATGAGCATCCGAAATGGTCCCGATGATCCGGAAAAGAAAGAAGAATAGAAAGATAATGGATGCAGTGCCCGTCCAGTGATCCAAGACAAATCTTGAAAGACCATCGAGTCGACTGGAGGCACTGCTTACTGTTATTTGACTCCTATAATAGTACAATTATAAGAAGTAGGCGGCATCGAACTTGATGGCTGTTCGTTAAAAGAAGCAGCCTATAAACATAATGTTGCTTGTAAATCGTTGAGAAAGCTTTACAAGCTGTACAATAACTCAGTCTTTTATAGTCAGTTGAAAAACGATGTTGCACAACCAACAAGCAACACTCAAGTCAATTTCATCATGCAGTTGCTGTCGTTGCACGATTGGTCGATGAAATATTTCACTAGATAAACAAACAAAAAAATTGTTTTTGTAATCAATTAGTCCAGGTTCGGCGAATCGTATTTCGCCAGCTATTATTTTTTCGCTGACGATTGTTTTTGCCGAATAAAATTTTAACCGAAAAATATCGAATCAAAATTTGATCCATTCTAGACGTAGAATTTTATCCTCACTAACTAGTTTAATAATGGCTCGATTGGTTACCCTCATCTAAGTTGGTAACCATCTGACATTGTAATCAACACTCACACTAATGAAGGATTACAAACAAATTGGCATTTTAAAACTGTTATTATCGAATCTTGAGACTGTTGTATTTCCAAGTGTTGGACTAAATCTGTTATTTATAAATCAAACAAAATATTATTTTATCATCTCTCGTAATTCTAAAAGTTATTTGAGTATCAACTACATGTTTTTTCGTATATCTTTACGAAAAAAACCTATCAAGGAATAAATCTCGTTGAATATCTATCGTTCATTTCTAGTAATATTTTATCTATATCCCGCTGGATCTTTCTTTTGTTAATAGACACAATCACATCGTCGAACATTTGCGATATCATAGAATTTTCAATTTCACATTCAAATATATCATGTAAAGCAATAATCTGACGAAGAAATCAAAGACACTAAAACTAAAACATCATATTTGAGCATTATACTCTGCGTTCGGTATGATACATTGCAGAATCAAAATTGTCGAACAGCTAGAACGAACCGGATACTATCAATACAAGAATGACCACGAGTAAACAGAGTTTGACATGTACAAGAACGATGTGTGGCCCGCTTAGATTGATTTCGTTCTTAGCACTTGGCTATTTTTGCTTGCGAAGTTCTCTCTTAACAAAGCATAAGCACGAAGAATTTCGTCAACATATAATTATGCTCTGATCTTAGCTGGTTGATTTTTAATACTTGGAGAAATGAACAAAAAACTCGCATCGATTGTAACTCTGAAGATGTCGTACTTTGACATAGTCAATTAGACTCATTTCGTATTATATCATTCGACTAATGTTTTCTGACAATCAAAGCGACTCGACGGAAAACATTCTATTTCATTGCAAGAATGCTATCTAGGAAATGTATATAATATGAATGGTCAATTACAATGATCCACTTAAAAACAGTTAACGCTTATTCTCATTTTTGATTGGGCAATGAGCTTCCTATTGACAGAGCAATATTTCGATAGCTGGAAAGAATTCTGAGTTTAATTAAAACTTGTTCTAAATCTATCTACAAATGGCTTCTCAAACGAAATCAAACAAACTCATAGCCGAGCCATTGCATTTTCATACAGTTCATGGCGATCAAATAAGATTAAGCGACAATAATTCTCGAGCAACTCGTGATCGATTGAACAACACATTGTTATTCACAAATCGACCTATATTAGCAAATGAAATAGTTGAACTGTACATTGAAGAATTATCAACTGAGTTTTATGGACTTATTCGTATTGGTTTAACAACCATTGATCCTGGCTCATTCACACAACAAACTTTACCGAAGACGATGCCAGCAAATGATAATCGTGATTGGTTCATACCATCACCACGTTCTCCACCGAATATTATGAAAAATAAAACGATATATCTGAAATATACAACTGAGGGTGATGTAAGTGTTCTTGTTTCACTGAGCCGAAATTTCTCCGATGAAATTAAAAAATAAATTAAACGAAATTCTTATGCACGTTAGTTTGATCGTGTAGAAAGACAGGAAATATTTTATTTATATAAAATAAATTTCCACTCACGTAAAAAATAATATTGTGACACTTAAAAAAAAAGAATGGTAAAATGTGATTGAGAGAATTCGATTTTTTTTCAATCGAACTCACATGTAAAATAGGCCATCGATTGCGCATGATGTTGCATCATAATTTTGAATAGTTCAAGACTAAAACGGGGAATTTTGGTTTTTACATAGTATTCAATTTTCCGATCATTTTTAATTTAAAAATAGTGCACTTCGTGTTTTGTTTAGATACTTATTGACTATGACGGTACCGGCTTTATTAAACAGTTAACTGTACCTCCCATAACAAAAGATATTTGGTGTGCACTTGATCTAAATGGCATTGTTGCCCAAATACGTCTGACTCAATCTGAAGCAGATGTTCTAGCAAATCCTGTCGATCGAGCTAGAGCACGTTACCTTCAATATACAAATAATCGTAAGAAAGAAAATGCATCTGTTTACTACAGTGGCGAGTTAGCACCTGGTGTTGTTACAATGATAGATTGCGATGAAAATTCTGAAATCTCAGAAAATATCGCTGTAAAAAAGAAGTCAACAGCAGCAATAGTAATTAATGAAACGCTTAAACGATCTATGTGTATTGTTTTGCAAATAATCGATATGGATCATACATTATCAGCATATTTAACGATTCGTTGCTTAACTGAAGGACGAACATCGAATGAACATACTAAATTAATTGATAATACATTTGATCATGTAACACTAGGCGATGAGATAGGTTTGCGTGTACTACCGGATGGATGTATAACATTTTCATGTGACAATCGTCATGTTAAACCTTTATTCAACATAGATCTAACGGTTAACGACAACCCTGCTGTACAGCAAACATCATATAATTTGGAATTTATTATGAATGGACGCGTAACTGGACTTCGATTAGTGGGAATTTATCGACCTACCGAAGCAGAAGCACGAACTCTTCCGCCTGCTGTTGGTGGTGGGTGTCAAGCTACTGTCATACATAGAGTATGTCCAAATGGCTTGTCGGGTCTTCTATTACCTTGTAAACATTTATGTGTTTGTTATGAATGCGGCAAAGCTCTTGTCGATAGGTATTCATGCCCGAATATTAAATGTCGTAAACCGATCAAAGGATGTGTTAAAGTATTTAAGGATTAATGAGCATTGTTTCTGTGCTTCATTTAATACTATTCTTTGCACGTATTTTTTTTTTCTTCATTTTTTCATAATAATTGTTCGGGTGTTCGCAAGTGAAATTGATGATAATAAATTTAAACAAAGAACACATTTTAAGTGTTAAATGAAATTGAAAAGAAATACTCGCGAACAAGTAATTTAGTTTTAGTTGTCACCGATAATAATTCGATATAAAACAAAGACAATCGAATAACGAAATAATTTAATCAAAAAAACATAAGAGGAGGATAAATAAAAAAACGTGATTATATTCTTTCCAATCAAAAGTGTTTTCGTGTGACGGAAAGCAAACACACCGGTTTTAATGAGCGTGAAAGAAATTTTTTGGAAATGTAAGCTAGAGTTTGATCTTTCTCTGAGATATTCGTTTTCACTATGTGACGTTCTCATGGAGATAACTGTTCAAAAGAAGAATTTCCCAACAAACTACTAATTAAAACGGCACATAGAATGTAAAATAACAGATCTAATGCTATAATTTTAGTATCTTACACGTCAAATCATCATCTCCGTAATACAATTCAAGTAGATAAGACTTGCTCTAGATGTCTCTTATCTTCTTATTGAAAATTAGTAGCAAGAATGGTCACATTAATATAGAAACCTTCAACATTACCCACTTTCATAATAAAAGACTCATAAAAATGCGTGACAGATCAAATTTCATAATAAATAAGTACTTGAAAAGTTTTATCATCACGTGGTTATTTCGCATATTCCTCATACCAGCTACTTATAATTGCAAAGTACCCCAAGATAGTACCGAGATTATATTGATACATTATTTTCAGGCTCAAATATTATATTTTTCATTCCAGTCGTCATGCATACTGCTTTATGGAAATAACTGCTGTTGGCGCTTTTAAGACAGCGGCGAAAACTCTTGGATTAGAGTTTTGATCAGGCTATTTCAAAGCATTTGTCTGCTTGGATAATGTTAGAGGCCAAAGCAAACACTTAATGAGATGCTGCAATCAAGCGCAAATATATCAATAATTCTTATTGAAAATCATGCAGGCACACAATTAGTGTAGATGAGTATGTATGTGCCGATTACTATTTTTATACAGTACTTAACAAAAGTAAGGAGAAACCTCGGTCTTGAATTTCTCAATAATAAATTTATGGTATGTTCTGGGAAAGAGACATTTCGCACTAAGTTTTTGTTTTTTATTTTTGTAGATAAATCTTTCCTCACTATTCATTAAGCACATTCTATGAGTGGAATTGTAGTGTATCATTTTAGATGTAATGAATAGTGCTTGTGTCACGTTCGTACAATTAAAATTTTAACATATATTCATCTTGCATATCCAATCGCTTACATTAGTTCGTTTTGGTATAACAACCCCTTTAAAATTCCTACAACAGTTCAAGAGTACAACATGTCCGACAATCAAACTGTTTCTTTTCAAAGCACTGAAATTTCCTGGTCACGACCTCTTCGATTTTGGCTTTTGATTGCTTTCGACATTCCATCGATTATATGTTCGCTCTTTATTCTTGATCATCTATTATCTAGTCGAACCCTACGTCATGATTTACACAATCATACAATCATTATTTTACTTCTATTGGTACTTGTCTTCCAACTGACCGATATTCCATTGTACTTAGATTTTATTCTAAAAGGTAGAGTCGAACCACAAACCCCAAGTCGCTGCCTAATATGGTGGTTAGTAGATCTTGGTTTCTACAATACGGCTGCAATCGTTCTTGCATGGGCCTCTATTGAACGTCATATTCTTATATTTCATATTCAATGGCTTTCAAGTAAAAGGCAATGTTTCTTTTTTCATTATATTCCATTGGTTATTCTTCTTATGTATGCGACCATTTACTACACAGTCCTCATATTTTTCCCACCATGTAAACAGACGTATGATTATACATTACCTGTATGTTCTGCTACTCCCTGTTATCTTCTTGATCCAGCACTTGGAATATGGGAAATGGGTGTACATGGTTGTTTATGTACGCTAATTATTGCGTTTTTCAATATAACTCTCCTGATTCGCGTTGTTCTGCATCAAAAGCGTAGTCGTCGAATATTTCACTGGAAGAAATATCGTAAGATGATAAGTCAACTCCTCTTGATTTCAATGCTTTATTTACTATTTAATTTGCCTATTATGATTATATGGGTGGCTAGAAATTGTGGACTGCTAGCTGATGTCGGTGTCGAAGAACAGTTTGTCGCATTTTTTCTCACTTATTGGGTCATGCTTCTGTTGCCGATGGTCTCGCTTTTTTCTCTACCTCATCTCAAGAAGAATCTTATGAGATTAGTATGCAATCGAAAAACTCAACAAGCAATTGTATTCCCTTTGAAGATAACACCAAATGCTGCACCCGATGTTCATAACACTATGAAACACACGAAATGACAAAAACATTGGATTGTTCAAGTCTTTCTTACCGTTTCGCTCTCTCGTTGTGTTTAATGTGAATACCATATCAAGAAGGATTTCTCAGTGTTCCTTGCAACACTAACTAAAACATAAACATAGAATATTAATCTTGACTGTTAAACAAAATCACACCCTGCTATAAATATCAACTTCAAGAGCAATAGCGAGGTGAAATAGTCGAGAAAATAATTATCTGTTTTTTTTTCTGTCTATGGAAATTTGTATATATTTAATTTAATTATCAATAAAAATCAAATTGAAATCTTTTACAGTTTAGATCAACAGGTAAAAAGTACGACTATGAGTTATTTTTAACATCGAAGGTAAATTTCATCTACTTCAATTTCCAATTTCATAAATAAAACGTTTCAGAGCTACTGATATAATCTTATTAAAGATAGAGTAAGGAAACACTATGTGTATTCAAGAACGAATCGTGTTAGTCCAGGATTAGAATTATTCTTGAACTGAAGAAAATAACCCATAAAATAAAAACGCTGACTTTACTGTAAAATACGATGTTATTGGTGACATGACTGTAAAAAGAACATAATGAACGAACCATTTCAAGTGTGAATATTAGAACTCATGATGAGTATGAATAAAACTATTGCCATCACCGTAGTTTGGCAAAGAAATATGTTATGTTCACACAGATAAGACATGATAAATTTCATAAAGCTTCTGTAGCATATTTATATGTAGACAACATGCACAAATAATACGAAATTGATCCGGCATTATTTTTCAATTAGAAATCTTCTGTTTCAAACGTACGAATATTAATCATATTCTTGGACTTTTAATAGGATAATAGTAAACTTTGCTCTTTGGTTTTTAACATTATTATGAGAACATAACGTAAACATCGGCGCCAATGCTTGATCCTTGAATCAATTCTTTTCAATAAAGTTATCGATAGTACAAAGTGATGTGTATTGAATTTTTCTCTGCAAAATTATCATCGCACTGTTTTGCATATTGTTTTAATCCCAACCTTCTAAATTGATTCAATGAAAGTATCTTGATCGATACAAAAAATCTGTTTCTAATAGAAACAAAGGAACTATACGTTCATCTCAAATCAAAATAGCCTTTCTGTTTCTCCTTTCTTTATTAGTCAAAATAAAAAAATCTATAATTGAAACCTACAAAAAGAAACTTTTTTGATGAATCTTTTCATTTATATGACATCCAATATAATAACATTGTTTGTTTCTAATGATTTATATCATGCAAACGTCAATATTTCGGCCCTAAAAAATTTTTAGTAGCAACGCTAACAAAGTTATTTTCTGTAAATTTATTTTCGTTCAAAAAACCACAGCAATATGATATCAAAGGCATACAGAAAATAGAATAGTCGGCGAACATGTGAGATAATTTTGTGAAGAAATAAAATTTTAAAAGTTCAGCAGCATATTCTGCACTTTCAAGTATTAAAAGTTAACAAAAAATAGGTGTCTTGATGAGTAATATATTGCATGAAGTTTTTTTTTCAATTGGACTTTGCTGGGTTTCTTGCACATCGCGAACAACAAATCAATAGTTTGTGTTTTTCTTTCTCCATATATCTGCGACAGCCAGCAACGTGTTTGTGAATCCAAGAGAGAACGAAAAACAAAGAGCAAGAGAGAGTGGGAGAGAATAATACAATTTAATGAAAATCTACTTCGTTATTTTTAATAAGCAACATATTTTTTTATTTCCATTGACAATGCAACAAATAAAATTTCGTGACAGTTTTGTTCTATTTTTATTCGTAAGTATTGCGTGAATTTAAACAACAATATTTCTTTATCTATTTTCTGTTTAAATTAATAGTTATTATTATTTAATGTTCTTCAATCATCAGCTGCATCTGCTTTATGTCCTGGTACACCTTCGTGCAATTGTACACTTACAAATAATACCTATTTAGATATCGTTTGCAGTTCGATGCTTAATCTTACTGTACTGCCCGTATTTAATGATGTAACACTTCAATCAGGAGTTACTGAAATACATGTTAGTTCATCGACTATTGGTACTCATGGTCCGTTAACAAGTTTACCAACAAATATTTGTTCATCATATCCAAATGTTGCTGTGCTTGATCTATCATGGAATAGTATAACGGGCTCATTAAATATGTCTCAACTTAATTGTTTGGGTACAAAATTAACTTATCTTGATTTTTCAAATAATTATATCAGCGATACTGATTTGAATTTTTTAAGAGTAAATAGTCTAATGCAATCAATAAATCTCGCTCAAAATGTTCTAACAAAAATGCCTGCCGTTAATTCGGATACGTTTGTGAATTTTCCTACAACGTTTGTCCTAATGAATTTCAGTTATAATCAAATAACAAATGTTGATCTTTGGCCTCTATTTGTTAAAAATCGTAAGGAATGATTTTTTTTATTTTGTCTTTTGCCAATCATTGTTTTTCATTTTAGAAAATTCGATGATCATTGATATGAGTTATAATGTAATTCAAAATTATACAAATGAGGTTCCCATCTATGTTAACCAATTTACTGCAACGGCAGATCCGCGTAGTTTTTATTTAAATAATAACCAAATTGAAGGTTTACCTGATATTTTACTTCAACAGTATGGCGCATGTCCAACAATTAGTACAACAAGTACAGCTTATTTTCTTGTTGCTGTTTCAAATATGTTACTAATAAATAATAATTTAACATGTAATTGTGACTCGTATAATTTTATACAATTTATTGAGAATTATAAAGATGATTTCCCACAGTTAACTAATGGTACAGCTTTAATAACACGAGCAATGTGCTCAACGCCAGACTCAATGGTAGGGCAACAATATATTTTTTCAAATTTTAGCGCAGGAGGTGCATGTGCAAGTTATACATTACCAAGCCAAACAAATATTTTTTGTTCTGTCTATCCAAATGATACAGCAGTAACTATAGCACCACCAACCTATTGGACACCAACAACAACAATAGCAACAACGCTAGTTAATCCCAATGCCACAACAATTAGTTCAGGTGGAAATGGTCCTTCAGGGGTAAATTAGTTTTGAGTTACTTTCTACTTATTTCAATATGCTTTTTTTTCTCTTCAGAATAGTGGTACCAATGGCTCATCAAGTTTGTCATCACCAGCATGGTACATTATTTTAGGCGTTGTACTTGGCCTTGCATTAATAGTCTTTTTACTTGTAATCGCTGGTTATATATATCGTGATAGATTATTTCCACTAAAGTATGGTTCAAAATTATCAAATAATGGTAGTAGTCATCGACATAGTGACGCATCAGTATGTAGAATCGATCTTTCGACACTATGCATTTTGGAAATACAATTTTTTGTTTTTACATCATAGGATTATCATGGTATGCATTCAGGACGTACATCACCAAGTGTTGAGTACTATCATTTTAAACAGAAATTTCGAAGTTTCAAAAGAATAATCTATTTTGAAGTATTGTTTTCGAATGACAGAACATAGAATTAGGAATAGAGAACGTTTTAGAGTTTGTATTTTTCGCCCTTGTTGTGTAAATACTTCCGTTTCGAATTGTTCTTCAACGAGGGTGATACCGAAAAATAAAAAGCAAACCTCATAGGTTTAATTTCAAATGAATCAAAACGAGTCTATTTTGACCTTCTTTATAATTTGTTGTTCTCGTGTTAAAAATAGTTTCGATTCGCTTAAAAATAAAGTACAAAATCATCTTTTTGGTTTCTGATTTAACGATTATTATTCATTTAGGTTGGAACCATCCAGAACAAGAAACTCAGACATGCTTTCAAATTGATCGTACAAAACCGCCGAGAGGCGTAAAACGAGATCTAAAACAACTTAGAAAAGCTCCTAGTCTTTACAGTTCAGACCACGATAGAACATTATCGACATCGGTTGCAACCGATGCAGGAACAAATACAACAAGTGTGGTTAAAGGCATACCAATACCGGCGAAAGTAAATAAAATTCCATCAATTCCCTCCGCTAACAATGGCACAGTACCTTCTACAAGCGCATCTGAATTGAACGTTACAGCAATACCATTGGCGCCATCAAAACGAGCTAAACTATTGCCACAAGTTAAAAGTGGAATCTATGTTGATACAATCAATAACAATCTACTGAATACATCAGCTAGTGCATTCGTGTCCAATCAACGGCAAAGACGTCGTAGTTCTATGTGGGTTCGTAGACAACAGCAAAATTCTATCACACCAATACCTTCACGACCGCACTCTGTGACTGCGCGAAAGACTGTTTTCGATCATGAAGATACTTATAGTGATGACATATCTTCTATTCCAACTGTAGAAGCTTTATCTAGTAGGCCACCGAAACCGTTACGAGCATTGCCACTACTTAATATTACTGTTATACCTGGCTGGATTGACAATAATTCTGATCAGAATTGATTGTGATATTTTTCATTGAGAAGCCTTTTTTTTCCTTATTTTGTTTGGTTTTTATTTGTGTAATATTATTGAATATATATTTTATGTTTGTATACTGAATGCACGCAAATCTTTTCTCAAGGCAAATTCTCCCATTAAAAAAACACTAACTATTACATTATTCAACCTGAAAAACAAGCAATCACATATGTTGAATGCATGTTTGTTGAAATATCATTATATTTCGTAAATTTGAGTAACCGATTATAACCAAACAATAACAAAATTCAAACTTTTGATCATTCAATTTTCTACGAAACCTTTTCAAATTAATTTCCAATGATGTTTCATTTTTTTCTTAAATAAATCTTTAATAATACTATAATAGGTATAAGAAAACAAATTTAAATGCAAAAATAAACAAAAAAATTAGAATAGTTAATAGTACTAAAAAAAAAAGATAAAATATGCAAATGTTCTCGAACAAACTAAACAATATGAGTTTTTTTAGTTAAGTAAATAAAATAGTTTAAGCAAAATGTCCAAGACCACTTTGTCGAAGTATATTCATTGCCTGAGGACTACTACCATCTAAAACTCCAGTATGATTAAAATTATTTCCGTAGTTTGTTGCCATTGGTTGCGCTTGATAATCTCCATAAGATTGCCCACCATAATTTTGACCACTCTGTTGAGTCCATTGTTGAAATTCTTGTCGACTGATTGAACCATCACGATTAGTATCAACTTGATTGAATATTGCTTTGGCAACATCAAATTGGGATCCACCTCCACCAGCAGCACCACCTGCCGATTGTGCAGCACTGAAATCATCGGGTAATTCCATACCAACATTGTATGCTTCAATTGCTCCGTAATCAATATTTAAAGCAACATCTTTAAAATCATCCGCACCAAATATTTGAGGAATACTTGACTGTGCTGGATTTTGATATACAAATCTTAGGATATACAAAAGTTATGTGTTTGCTTTTTAAATTTGGTTGTAAAAATTTACTGTGCTTGTTGTTGTTGTTGTTGTTGTTGTTGGTAATGAAATTGTCCACTAGTTTGTTGTTGATATTGAGGTCTTTGTTGGTTTGCTCCACTGTTTAGATTCGTACTGGTTTGATAGGTCGGTACAGTTCTAGTATTACTAACTTGACTTTGTTGCTGAGAGAAAACACTACCTGGACTTGACAATGAACCATCAGTATAGGATGAAGTTGAGCCACCTAAAAAAAAGAAAAAAATTTTGATAAAACAATTTCTATATATAATACAGTCTATCGAGAAATTCGTTCTTAATTACTATAAGGGCTAACATCAGGTGGAACTGGACGCTGTTGAGATTGTTGTTGTGCTGATTTAACATCGATGTGAATGGGCTTGTTGACAGCAGTCGACGTATTGTCTGATACTTTTGCTTCAGGTGGAAGATTGCTAGCTACTTGTTTTTGTTGTGAATTAGTTGCAGTAGGCTGAACAGTAGAAGACTTTTTAGTACTTCTGCTGTCTCCTGATTGAATACTAGCTGCATCGAATGATTTTTGAGTAGAATGTGCTGATCTGTGACTAGTCGCCGATGAACCACTACGCACTGTGATTGTCTCAGTACCTGTATTACTAACAGTACTTTTCGCCGCCGACCCTTCACGCTGGAAGGTGCCCGTATTTTTCACATCTTTTGATTTTTCTGAAGCATCTCGAAAGCGTGATGATACTTCATCGTCCGACGATTTCGATGATCCTGATGATGATGTTGATTCACGACGAACTGACGACATTACTTAAAAGAATAATAGTGTTTCAACAGGGCAAATGCTTCGTATTCTATTCGCAAGGTCGAATCAATGCTTAAATAGTATCACTTACTATTGTGGCTGAGACAAGGAGACGAAAAAAGAAACGAGGGTGTACTTGTGGGCTATATGATTATTGGAAACCAACCAAGTGTAACGACGAACAAGAGCAAAATAAAGATAGTATATAAAAAAAAAGACCAAGCAATATACATATTTTTATCAGCCAACATATACCTGCATTTTAAATTGCACATTAATTTAAACATTTTTGTCTGCATGAAATTGATATAATTAGAAAAATGATTTGCAACGCACCCTCTGGCTTTTTTCTTTTACTTTCTTATTTTTAGCTTAGATTGTGAAGTAAAAGGTATGCGTCTTTTCCTATATAATATGTATCGCTAGATGTCACAAATATCCGCTCGGAGTAAATCTGTTCGTATATATGGCGTTATACTACGCAATTTGTAGGCTTCATTCTGATATCAACATTCTTCCTTGTTGACTGATAAATATATATACACATAAACGCACGTAGTAGTGCACATGACTATAATGTTATTTATTCATCCATCCATCTTTCACCATTTTTAGTCCATGTAGGTATATCCGACTCATGCTTTCATCGTTCTATTGATTAATATACTTAACAGTAACATGTGTAAAACGCAATGCAGTACTTCTACTTTTCTGCATGGCAACTGCTGAAAGAGTTTGCATTCTTTTTATCCTGTTCCTTTTTGTCGACTCTTATTTAGATGAAAAAACACAATTTTCTCTCATGAATTGTTGAGATGATATTAATAGATGTACTTTTTCTCGCGCAATGACTCATACCACAAACTGTTATCTTATTCTGACGAAAGTAAGAATAACAGTCTAGTTAAATATTTTTATTTTTTTCACAACTACTCTCTTATTTAGCAGAATTTTATTTCACTATTTGTTTCAGTTATTATTTCAGATACTTCAAAGTTACATTGATATTTTTGTTATTCACACAATAAAAATGAAAACTCAACACTTATTAATTGGTTTATTTACCATCATTTTATTAGGTAAAGTGGTCATTTTCATGATTTCAATTGATTTTTCTAACTAACAACATCATACTATGATATTTTCTATATTTATGATACTCTTTTCTTCTTCTTTTATCTGACATCATTAAGCAAATGCTTCTTCTTTTCTATAGTCGTAAGAACATATAGTCGCGGTCCAATAAGCCACGGATTAGTCCTACGAGATGATGATGATCAATCTTCGCTCATAAATACTTCGGGTCCATTGACAGCTGACAATGACACTACTACTGCTACCCGTATTACTAGTACAGCAACGCCAGTATCAACGAGTAAAAACTAATCCAGCTAAAAATGTTAAGCCTGCTCGCTATTTGTGGTTAACTGATTCGATTTTCTATTTAATTAATTGCTTCATTATTTCATCGAATAATGAATTCAATTTTGATTTATTTCCTATTCAGGTAGTGCCACATCTGATAGTTCAACAACAGCAACAACAACCAGTGTGACTACCGCCACAACAGCAACAACAACCAGTGGGACTACAGCCACAGCAGATACAACAACAACATCAGTCACGACAAAGCTACCAGACACAACAACAACTCAAACCGCAACATCAACTGCAACAACAGAATTGCCAACTGCAAATACAACAGCAGTGACCACAGGCACAACATCCGCAGCTACCACTACAACTCCATCGAAGACGACAACAACCGCAGCGCCGGGTTTGATAAGATTTATTTTATCTTTGTCAAAATATTAATATTCAATATCTCTTAGGTCGTAAATTCGATGGTCTGTCATTTATGGGTGGAATAATTCTTGCAGTTGGTGTCGGTGCACTCGCTTATCTAGTCGTACGTTATTTACGGCGCACTAATCGATTACGATATGGAACCCTAGCCTAAATATAAATTCCTATTTCAATGATTGAATTGAACGAATATTTATCAGCATTTTTTTCCTTCACGTAGAAGGGAATACGTTCTATTGATTGATGTTTTGTTTTCCTTTTTTATGCTACTTTACGTGTCAATATATGCCTACAAAACAAGTTGATATTGTGCGCGTGACTACTTTGTTCTCTCGTTGATTCTTTTTCTTGTTGATGTTATTCAAGAGATTGCTGCTATGCCAAATAAATGGAAAGCATTTCTGCAAGAATGATGATAATAATATACTTTATCTCGCTAATATTATATTTTTTTTTCTTTTCTTTTTTCAACGATAAAAATATAATTGTATGGTGTGCATTTGCTTATTTTTTCGATACTTATGTAATTTTATAACCTATTTTCGTTTTTTCATTTGTTTTTTCTTTTAATAATACCTATGTCATGAATATGTAATTAAGAATGTCGATCAACAAAAAAGAAAAAGAAATCATTCGTTATATGTGAAGTTTCTATTTCGTTGTTCAAAAAAAAATCATATTTGAGCAAAAGTACTTGAATATCAGAATTAGCTGCGAAATGGAATAAGTATATTATTTCAGTCCTTTTCAAAATCATTCTGTTTCACTCCCTCACTCTCTCTCTCTCTCGTTTGCTTATTCAAAAAAAAGGTTAAGTATATAAACTATGTTTATTATTCTTTCGATAACTCTGTGATACTCGTTTTCTTTCTGTGTTGATAGAATACTCAATGCTAACTCGTGCATTTAATTGATTATGTATAATGCATGAATCGCGTGCATCTTTGAAAGGTTTGATCTCTGCTTGAATTCATGTCTTTATCGATTTACCCATCGTCCTTGATTGAAGGTGGCCTCATGCGGATAGACTGATGACGTCCAACAAGAAAACTAAAGTTGATTTATTAAAATCGTTAACTCAATCAAAATTTATCATTCATTGGAGTAAAAAGATATGAGTCATAGAACAAGGTGTTAATGAAGAATACAAATTTAATTAAATATCTAGATATTGTTCAGTGTTAAAGACGAAATGAAGTGTCAATAGGAAAATGAGATAGTCCCTGAAGTATAAACGAGATGTGAATACGTTGTGCATCTGTACATTACGCTTCATTTATCATATCATTTGCTGACATATACTAGTAACTAGGCTATAAGAATGCATTATAAGACTATCGGGACTCATTACGTTTATATTAATGATTGGATTCTGCTGGACTTTTGTACTTTAAATTTCGGGCAAGATAAGCAGCTCCAAAGTGTCATCACTTATATCCACGTTGGCCTTAAGTGCTCTCTTTTCATGAAAAGATTTGTAAAAATAATTCCAACAGAAAAACAAATCCTAAAAGTTATTTATCATAAGTCTATTCAAACGAAAAAGAGATTTCTATTAATGCAAAAGTTAATATTTATCATAGAATTTTCGTCTTCAGTAAATGTATATTATCCTTTTTTAGATTAAGGTAAAAAATTAGTTAAATACGTAAATCGGATTCTGTTTTCCGCTGTTTTTTTTAGAGATTTTTGAGGCAAATGCTCTGACCATACGAATTGATTTTAATTTTGTCCTATTCTAAAATGAAATTCTAATACAATATTATGTCACGAGAATACAAAACAGCATCTATATAAAAATAAACTTTAAATGATTGGGTGAGCGTTCAAAAAAACATTTCTCTATCAGAAAAAGCAAACATGTTAATTATTTTTTCTTTCTTGAAAAACTTGTTGATTTTTGTTGCTCACTTGAACAACATCTCAAGTGTGTATGTTCTATCCAATATCAGAAGACTGACGGTGGTGATGATGATGATGATATAAAACAATTTGTCGTTTGTCAGGTTGTTCTCTTCTTTTTTCATCTCAACACTTCATGTCAATACATCCAGTCTCTCGATTAAGTACAATGAATGAACAACACACTTCTTTAAAGTTTGATCTCTGCTTGAAATCATGTCACCGGCGATATGCGCATCGTCTCTGATTGAAGCTGTCCACATGTCATCACATGGCGGCAATGTGAGCACATTCAAAAAGAAAAATAATACTAATTTATCAGAATCTCAGTCTTTTGCTTTTCTTTCATATTAATATTCGCTGTTCGATAGTGCCTTTTTGGAGACACAAAAATCTAGTTAAAGACAACAAGGTGTGGATGACAAACACTAAGTTAATTGGAATGAGGTGTTGGTGCGTTTGAAACCAAAATGAGTGCGAATAGAAGAATAATATTGTCCCTGAAGACTATTGTAATAGGTCATCTGTGCATCGTACGCTTCATTTTGCTTCGATATGGATACTAGCTAATAGATCATTTTCTTTCTGTGTGCAGGTAAACGTGCCAATAAAAACTGCAAAGATGTTAAGATTCTCTTTCAAGAAAATCTTCCAGAGAAATTGATTTTTCCGCTGGTGAAAAACTGAAACTGTTATTCTTGGAAATGCACAATCCACTCGTGTCGATGTTGAATGTAATAGAAGTTTTCCGAGGACTGATACACCAGCATCATTCGAACTGTTCTCTGAAGCGTAGTGGGAAATTTGTTTCAGTTTTTATTTGAACATGGTCAATTATTCAAATCTCAATTCCGATTTGACAAAAAAAAAAGGTAAATACTGCTATTCTAAATACTAGCTATCAATCTTGTTGATTATGTAAACTAATCGATTTTGTCTCAGTAACTGATCAAAATATGCACCTGCATGTATACATTTCTCATCGTTGATCAATTGTGAATGTGAACATAGACATTCCACGTTGATCTGATTCTATTGTAATATCATTATTTCTAATCGTTTATCAAACAAAATCCTTTCAGTTTTCTTTTTTTCTCTCTTCATTATTATTCGAAACGAGCCGATCATAATCATCATCATTTGCATTCGTTCTCCTATGGCATGTGTCGAACAAGAATTGCAAAAAAACAAAATGTGATGAATAGAATGAATAAAAGTCAATGATTTCCCACTGTGCTATAACACGCGACAATATAATCGAAGAAGCAAAGCGAATTAGAAAGAGAGACAGAGAGACAAATGTTTGATGAGTATTCAATTGACTACCGTAGACCTTCACATCTGTGCATATCATAGAAAAAAAGCATACTTGTCTAGTTCGGCAACAGCCGTGTTCACTAACAAGGCAAAAAGAAAAATATTCATAACGTTTTGTAAATGCTGATTAATGATAAAATTTAAGTTCATTGTCCAATGAACTTCATGATAAAGTAGAAATTAAAACGATGCAATCAAGAAAACAAGAAAAAAAAGAAGATTTATGAATTTTATAATTCAAACATGATTAATTGAGATATTCATAATGACAATTAGAAGTTAATGTGTCAAAACAAATTGAGTGCGTTCATACGGATAAATATGAATTTATCATAGTTTAATTCAAACAGTAGAAAACTTAAATTATTCATGAGAAAATTCACTTAAGTTAGCCTATTAAAAATAAACATTATGTGTTTTACTAATAGTTCTTCAAATTTAATCTAATTATTATCCTTCCATCCAAAAACTGTAAACAATATGTTTTAAGATTCTCCGTCAGTTTTTCTTCAATACAAATTAGTTCACATTAATCGAAGAACAATCAATTTCAACGGTTTCGGAAACGACCAGAAAGACTTTCTGCTGACTTGATTCTTCTTATTATATTTTTTTTTTTGTCAAATTATCAAATCAAGACCACCCGATGATCCTTCTATGTACAAAAGAAGAAGAAAAGTGTCACATCAGTTTTATGATCAAGCGCTTCCTGTTATATTTTCGAGCATGTGTTGCTGTAATCGGAGATTTCAATACACATTCTCATGTTTCGCTTAATGATTGTCAATTGAACATGAGCGACAACTTTCTTTTTGTCACTGCACAGCAAGATGATGTTGATGATGATGATGACGAAGAGAAAAAAACGTAGCTGTTCAATTTATTTTCTTCTTCTCTCCACGATAAATATTGTTACTGTGATTGGACTATTTTCTATTCAATATATTGAATGATTGGTTTATTTATAGGAGAGTGAAAGTGAACAGAAATTGACAAATACGGAAAAAATATGTTGACAGATTGTCAACGGGTTTCGAACTGACATTTTATTCATATTCATTCAGTTGTAAAAGAACATCACGATATAAATATATGTATTAAAACTTGAACGCTATGGCATCAAATAGTGAAGAAGACGAACGTGAACTTAATGTATGTGATGATGATCATGATATGATTTCAAGTGAAACAAAAACTGAAGGTTCATCATTAATATTCGATCGTCATAATAAAGAAAATCGTCATGAATTACCTTCACTTTTTCCACCGATGAATTATCCGCATATGCTTCCATTACTTCAACCTCCGATGAAATCCAATGGATTGTTTCTTCCTAGTTTCTTTCCTTATTCATCACTCACGCCGTCGACTACAGATCGAGCTTCATCATCATCATCTTCATCAACAACAAGTCGTCGACGACATCGTAATTCATCGGCAACACTCAATGAAAGTGGTTCAATGGGTGATGATTTAACAGATTTACGTTTGAAAATTAACTCACGTGAACGTCGACGCATGCATGATTTAAATTCAGCATTGGATAGTTTACGTGAAGTTATTCCCTATGCAAAGAATCCATCGGTACGTAAATTATCAAAAATGGCAACATTATTATTAGCAAGAAATTATATTATTATGTTAACAAAATCACTCGATGATATGAGACAGCATATAGCAACATGTTATCAAAATAAATCTGAACAAGATAAATCTCAAAGTGTATGTCCGAAAGCTCAACATAATTTACCGTGTTTTTGTTCAATTTGTTTAACATCAAATACGAATATTGAACAAGAACGCCAGCAAACATTTCCTTCGATCATATCATTTGTACCAACATTATCATCCAAAACAAAAAAATAATTCTCGATTGTGTATCACTTTTATTTCATGTTTATTATGCAGCAAAAAAATATATAGAATTTATCTGACTAGCAACAGAATTTAGAAAAAAATAATAATAATAATTCAACCATAGAGTGCTTCTTTCGTCTTTTAATATAAGAAAATACAAAGTGTGTAATCTGTACAATATTAATCAATAAATCTGAACTTGTTTAAATATTTTTCTTTAACTTCATAATGTTTAATATGCAAAAGAATTTTTGTTTTGTTTACCAATTGAGAGGATCGACATTGAAACGTGAAATTAGACGATTTTGATCACCGAGATCTTTTTGAACTTTACGACGCATATAAAATATTGAACAATCACGACTAAAAAACAGAGAGTTGAAATTGTATGCATGTTATAAACATATTATCAAGGCTTTCTACCGTTGGCTAGTTTATCTATTAGATTCGATTTTTTGTTTATTAATAGGTTGCAAGCGAATGTCCTACCGTCAACAGGGATGCCCCGACTGGGGGAAGGGGGTGATCGGGATGTAACCAAACCCCCAATGTTCGAAAAATTGTCTTCCATTGTGTTTTACAAAATAAAACTTATACTATCTTAAGCGTGATTTTGTAAGTTATTCTCCGTATTGGCAAATGTTGAACTCAAAAATCCAGAATTCAAATCTCAAAATCCTCAAAAAATCCAAAAAACTCTTGACAAATTCGAAAAAAATCCGGAAAATTTCAGAAAAAAATTAGGTAAAATTGTGAAAATGCAGGAGTTTTCAAAATCGTGGAAGATCTGGCAACACTGGTTATTCCCCCTCAACATTTTTGGAAAGTAAGATTTTATAAGCTA